GAAGAGGCAGGTAAGGATCAGGCCCCCACCCTTGTGTACATGCCACAGGGGTTTGACTCAGTTTAATTCTCCCTAAATTGAAGTGGTGTTTTTAATAACCCACTGTTTCAATTTAGGGAGAACAAAACTGAATTAAACCCCCATTGCGTGTACAAACATCCTTAGCGACTGATCCAAAACATATCAGAGCCCAAGGGAGTCTTTCCACTGTGGATTAGGGTCAAACACAAGTCTTTATTAGTCTTTAGGTATGCTCTTATTTATCATGTGGTGACTTGGCTGCCTATCCTTGTGACCTTGAAGATTGATTCTTGTAATTTCCTTTTCTCTGGGTGATTAGCAAGGCTGATCCGCTGTTTACAACTTATTCAGAATGCGGTAGCATCATTGGCTATGTGGTTGGCTACTCATTTATTTCAGTCAGCCTTATTGATCTGTAAAGCTCTGAATGCTACTGGCCCAGGTTATGCAGCAGATTTCCATTTGGTGGATGTTTGTATTTGTGTGTCACTTGGTGTTCAGGTGTTTTGTCATCATGCCTGAAGTCAGTAGGTGCTTGCACTTCTGATATGGTGAGCCACATGGTGTGGAGCTCAGCCTTAAGTGGTATGTCTCACCTCTCTTCTACATTTGCAAAATACCTAAAAGCCTACATTTTTTCATAGAAGTGTTTTTAAATTATTGGATTTTTATTCATTTGTATCCATCTTTTTGTAATCTTGTTGTGATAATGGAGTGTCGCGTATTGCTGAGAAGCTGCTTCCAGAGTGGTTGTGTGGCATCTGAGTGATTTCTAATGCAGAAGTTAAGTAAAACTGTTACTCTTATAACAGTCCTGGCAGTGAAATGCAGGTGTATCAGTAGGACAAGCTCCCACAGTCAGTCCCACACCAAAATGTTCAGTGGTGGGGAAGGAAAATGTTGGGATAAGATACGTTATCTTAATAAGTAACAGGCTCAGGTAAGAGTCTACAAGTTACTTAATACATGCAACTTCTTGCCTTTCTTCTGGATCTGACACTAGGGCAAGGGGTGACGACATATTTCCTATGACATTTACCCCAGACAACCCGCCATTGGCTCAGTTCATTCACTGCATGACCCAGAAGTCAAGAAAGCCATCCCTTTTGTCTCTGCAGGGACCAGCAAACTGACTCATTACCCCAGTGCACACATTCCTGGTGAAAGCCCTTCTGGTTCCTCCTCTCTCACTTTTTGATCCTAAGAGAAGGGGAAGCTGGCAGGTCTTTTCTGCCTCTTCTTCCCTGCAGTGCAGCACTGGTGCTCTATGATGCCGTTCAGCAGCATTTAGCACCCTCTCCTAGTCTGTGTTCAGAGGAGTAAATAACTTCAAGCAGGTGAGGAGTGAGGATGGAGCTCTGAGGTTTTTGTTCATTCTAAACCTGGTATATGTAGAGCTGGGCATGTAAATGGGATAAACCTTGCATTGTATGCATTCCAAATGAAGCCAGTAGACCACATTATCAGACTAGGAAGAACCTCTGAAAGTTGGGTGACTTAGTCATGAAACTTGGTGAATTTGTGCTGTTAATCTCGGGCACAAGCTTTCCCATGTTCATCTGTTTGTCCCCTTTATCTGCCTGTGCCAGCTGTAGAGTTACATTTCTACATCCTGGGGCTCTGAAGCTCTGCCTAGCAGCGCCATGTAATCAGGTGAACCAGCACACCATTTGCAGCTGGGTCATTTCGGAGATCTTATTTGCTTCTTTCTGTCAACCTCATGTGAAACATAAAAAAACCCCAAGGATTAGGATGTGTATTTAATTTTTTGGAGTTGCATTAAGAGTAAAGTAATGGATATGAAACTGTAAACAGCTCAAATAACAAAAATGCCATCAGGAAAAAGAGCATGCAGCGTTTCCCCCTGGGGTTTCCGCATGTGATTGCAGGAGGTGAATAGCATGGCCATTTTGGTCACTGTTACAATGGGTGCGTGTCAGTTCCTGGATCCTGTGCCACACAAACACACTTGCCACATTCCAGGGAAAATTGTCAAGATTATTTTGGGAATAAACCCACCATTTCTTCTGTCTGCTCCCAGAGCTCACCCTTTATAGACAGCTCTTGGGGTGTGGAGGTGGGGGAAGCCACTCACTAGCTTTCATTATCGTTTGATGCCTATCAATTGTGCTGATAAAGCCAATGTACTGAAAGGGTTCGAGTTGTTTTTGATGGGTGCTGACAAAGCAGGAGTATATCAGTAAGTGCTTGACACTGATGTGGTTTTATCATTGGCAGGCAAGCAACAAAATGGATAAATTAATCACCTTTCCCCTAAGTCTGCCACAGGCATTTCCTCATAAGGAGAATGCTTCTATCTACTGGATTTTTGAAGTCTGATGCTGCTGTGCCTGGAGTTACACAGCTGCATAGACTAGGGCACTGGGGTTCATGGTCTTGCTGCCTTTTAAAATATATCGCCTGTGTTTATGAGGGTAAACAGCAAGAACATGATGGTAGCACCACTGTCACAGCACTTTCCTTTCAAGCTGGCATAGAATTCACACCTTTTCCTGGCTAAATGTGGCTTCCATTAATGATTCAAGGAAAAAATTGCCAAAGAAGCAAATGTGAGGCCTCTTCTTTTGTTTTCTGTAATCTGGCCTTCAATTCTCTTGCCTGTCCTCCTTTCATCTTGCCCAAAATGCCCCTGCAGAAATCAGTGTCCTGTCCTTTAGTCTCAGCCATGTCACACCACCCCTTTTCATCCTTCTCTACATTTCCTGTCATCTACTGCACCCATACTCTTACCTACAAAGCAATCTGTAATGTTGCACCCACCTCCCTCTGTCCCAACGCCTCACTCTAAATGTTCACAACCAGCTTTCCTCACTTCTTCCTTTGGGCCACTTAGGCATGTTTGCATGGCCTCCCTCTTGACCCTGGACTGCCACTAACAAAATAAGTCCCCACCTAGTCTGCTGAGTTGCCAGTCTATGGTGAACCCACTTTTGCTAGGTTCACCATAGACTGGCAACTCAGCAGACTAGGTGGCTTGGGGGCAGTACAGAGGGAATGTACATTGACAGGGATGCTCCCAAGCCATTTGCTCTGCTTGATGATGAGAACTTGGTGCACCTGAGAGGATGGCATTGGGTGACACTGTATTGTCAGCAGTCCCAGGATCAAGAGTGGGGATTGAGTACCTCTTCCCTTGAAACCAATACATTTTTTGGGGGTCTGCCCTAGATATCCTTATCTTCAGCTTCCTCTTGTTACCTCCCATCCCCATGGATGGAGTACTGCCTCTGCTCTCCTCTCCAAATGGCCTTTCTCCTTTCCAAGCCCCTCTCTCCTCCTCTTGACTCATTGCCATCAGCCTACTTAGATCTAACTAGTTGTCCTGTGACTTACCATGTGTTAGTTAGTACATATTTAGATATTACCCCTCTGGGGGAAGAAAGCACATCTGACCATGCCTACCACATGTAGTGTAAATCTGTGTGGCAATATGGATGTGTTTCACAGTTGTAATAATCTTGCCACTGGATGCTGTGTGTTTTTCTTCCAAGATGAGAGTTCCAAGTGCCTATAGCCATATTTCAGGAGTGGATCCAGGCAAACATTGAGAAACATGCTGAGTTCAGCATCCTGATTTAGTTCCTTAGGGTTCCTACCCCAATCTGTAAACTAATCATTGGCGCTGGTGTTCTCAGAGCTCACGGCCTCCTGGAGGGACAGTATCCAAGCTGTAACCAAGACAGCATTGCTTTGGCATAGGCAGGATCTAGATTGCTTTAACATGCCTTATAAAGGGGAACGTACATCTTATAAGCTCTGTTAAAATCTTCCTTATGCATCAGTTTTAAAGCAAAATCATAAATAAAAGATCACTATTTATCCTGGATGTTTTTCTGGTATCCAGTCTGAGTTTCCAGATTTCTTTTAAATACATAAATACAGCTTCAGGGTTTGAAAAATCAATGTTATTATTTTCCTTTATTTGTGAACGAATGGGGGAGACATTGAAACAGTGTTTTTATGTCTGAAAACACAAAAATTATTTATTTCTGCACATGTTAAAAAGATGCACCATTTAAATTTTGTTAGTGATAATTATGATTACTTTTATTATCATGAAAGACAATCCAGCTTAGAGTTATAGTACCTAGGTGCAATTAAATGGGGCTTCTTTGCTTATTAGACCCTTCTGGCACAAAGATGCAAGAAGGATGCAGTTCTTGTTTTTGCCCCATGCTGGACATAAAACTAAATCCATCATCCTAAATCTACAGTGCCTCCGGCCTGAGATCTGAATCTGTTAAGGGCACCTGCACCCTCACAGTCATGATCTGTACCACTGCCCTACTGCTGTATTTGCAAACACAACAGAAAGGGAGAGGGAAGAGTGTAGCTTTGAGGTTGCAGACATTAATGTGGAAATGGTGTTCTTGACTATTTTAATTCTTCATTAGGTACCTGTCCCTTGTGCTACAGTGTGGTGAGGGGATACAGAAGTCTATCAATGACACACAGATACCTTTTTTTGTTTTTTTCCCCCTCCAATATGGATTATCTGACACTTGGCCTGTGACTGATTATTTTTCTGTTATGTCTCCAGCACAGTGATGCAGTCCACGACCTTCTCCTGGACGTGATCACGTGGGTTGGCATTCTGCTGTCACTTGTCTGCCTCCTGATCTGCATCTTTACTTTCTGCTTTTTCCGTGGGCTCCAGAGCGACAGGAACACTATTCACAAGAATTTGTGCATCAGCCTCTTTGTGGCAGAGCTACTTTTCCTCATTGGTATCAACCGGACAGATCAGCCAGTAAGAAACTCAACATAAACATCTTTACCCTCCTGTTTTGTCATAGAATGTCTATGGGCATAATCCTGCAGTGAGATATGCATCTCTGCTCTTCTGTGCCTTTGTACATCTCAGCAGCATCAGGGCTCTGGTTCATAATCAGGATGCAATCTTGATTCCAGTGAAGTCAAGGGCAAACCTCCCAGCCATGTCAATTAAGCTAGATTTGCACCTTGGATATTTGTGTGAAGTTTGCATGCAAAAAGTGTGTTTAGTCTCATGTTTTTCTTGCATTGTACTGCACTAACAGTAGGAGAGTAATTCTTCAGATTTTTTCTGTTATAGGTCCTTCTTTGAGGACATCAGCCAAAGTTCACTGTAATCCTTACACTGGCTTCAGACAGCTCGAGGCTTCTATAACTTTCTGAATAAATTGCCCTTTAAGGGCTGAAATTGTGTGCCCTTTGACCTCAGTCTAGAGGCAAATATTTCTGGATAGTGAATTGATTTGCATCTGGAAGCTTTTAGGGAAAGCTCAACTTGAACAAAACAATAACAAACAAAACATTGTTTTTCCTAAAACATTTAAGCCCCATTTTGTATTTGCATGTGGTATATACAGTCCTTTTGAGGGGTTGGTGTTTTGGGGTTTGTTTTTTTTTAAAGAAAAAGCCTTCAGACTCATCAAGGATTGAGTTCTCAGTGAGAAGTAGTAGCTTTGATATATGTAAAGGAATTTGGTTAATGAAGAATAGGGTTCCTACATTTTTAAATGAACAGACTTGGCATGGTCACTGTACTGCATCATACTGGATTTCCTCAGGTCATGCACCATGTGGGCCATACAGGATCCCCACCCCCATTGCACACTGCACATGGGTAGTGGGACAGGTGGCTGCAGAGGCCTATGAGCTAAAAGTTAACCTGCTCAGTTGCAAGCTACCTGTGGCCTACAGACCACATACCACAGGTCGCCAATTGGACAATTCTGGGCTAGGGATTGCTTGGAGCATCCTCCTCTTGAAGCTGTCCACTGGATAACTGAGAGGTAAAAAGTTATGAGGGACCAAGGAAACTGTGGCTTAACTTAATGCTAGTCTGGTGTGGGGATGGAGCTCTGGCTTTTGGTTTTTGCCCTTGCCCTGCCTCCGATGGGGCAGAAGCTGTCTCACTGCTGTTTACTAGCGTTAGCCAAAGAATACCAAATGCAAGGTGCAGAAAAGTTACTTGGGACAGGAGAAGATCCCAGAGCCATTTGCAAACCAGGACTCACTCACAGACAAAGCATTTCAAATTCGAATGCTCTGGTGGTCATGTGGATAAGGGAAAGCAGACTTTCACAACACTTCTCCCAAACCATCCATTAAGGTATAAAAAGGCATTGATCTTGCACTTATGATAAGCTGGAGCAAAATACCCAGTGACCTCAAAGCCTTTGAGGTAGGATTTATCAAAATGTGTAATGGAATAAGGTGTACACCATTCCCATTGAATTTCACTGTCCATAATCTTAAGGCCCCTTGGAAAACTTGGACCATAAGTCGTATGCCTGTGCCTCTAGTGAAGGAGTTTGCTTTTGCTCATCCTAACCCTATTTAAAGAAAGAAAAGTCACACATCCTTGGTAATTTTAAATTTCTTTTTTAAATTTGGTGATTGTTCTTAGACGTATCCCAGTCTGGTGCATGCGTGTGTAGAACTACCCCTCATCAAACTTGCATTCATCATTTTTCTCAAGAAGCTACAGCATGTGCTCCATGTTGCAGAGACAAAAGGATTTTCTTTCACCAATGGGAACTCCTTCATAACATCCAGTTATGGCTAACATGTTTTCCTTGTTACAGACACTTTCAACCAGCTCCTTTCTCTCTGGAAATGCAACTACTTGTCTTCTGTGCAAAATTTTGGGCATACTGTGGCAGTGCAGGAATCTGGGCTACATCTAGCACATGACCTGCCAAAATGTTACAGGAATACTTTGCTAGAACCCTTGAGCATCAAGTCCTCATGGAAGCTGAAGATTGCAAAAACCACTGTGGGGGATGTCTGTTCACTTGTCCATGCAAACTGAGACCCTGCACTGTATTTTCTCAGGGCTGATTTGATTTCAGATGTCCTTGAAATAAAGGTTGTGCACTGGAATTATGTGTTCTCACATCCCTTTTCCTATTCTGTGGCT